GGGCTGGGGCGGCAGCGGGCTTGGACAAAATGGAAAAGCCCGGCTACCAGGTAGACACTCCTACATAGTTTCATCCCAAATAACGTCACGATTACATACATTTTTGGGGATTTTGTCTCCAGAACGGGCTTTGTGCCTCAGACAGCGGCCGATCTTCGTCAGGGAAGAGCTCCTCTTCCTGTCAGAGGCTGAGTCACATGAGTGACGCACCGGGACCATTACGGCCCTCCCCTTCCTCGGATGACATCATCCAGGACCTGGAGGACCGCTTGTGGGAGAAAGAGCAAGAGGTCGGTATATGCAAAGCTGGTAATACCGTATTGGCCCGAATATAAGACGGTGTTTTTTGCATTGAAATAAGACTGAAAAAGTGGGGTTCGTCTTATATTCGGGGTCTAGACACTATACCCATTCACGGCGCTAGATGGCGCCAGATATCATTGAAGCGAATGCTGAACTTGACTCCCCAGGCCAAAGTGAAGCCCTGTCACGAAGAATAAAAATAAAAACACATACTTGCCACTTTAGACTTTGCCTTTTTAATGTTTCACTGATTTTATGCTAAAAAAAAAAAAGTACGCTGTCATAGAATTGCCAAACCGACAAATCGAATGATGCCCAAAACTAAGAAATCTTCATCTAGAGTATCTTGCATGACAAAAATATCTTATAATATTTACAAATGCCTTACTTGACCACTAGGTGCAGCACATGCGCCGCAACCTGGACCAAAGTGAAGCCGCCATCATTCAGGTGTTTGAGGAGAAGCAGCGCGTGTGGGAGCGCCAGATGGACGAGCTGAGACAGAACTACGCCTCGCGCTTGCAGCAGGTGACCTCGCTGCATGGTCTGATTCCAACCGTTGTTCTTAAAAATGTCATTGCATGTTGTCTGAGTTCCGCTGCTTCAAGGCTACATGTGCAAATGATCGAACGTATTGACTTACAGTATGGAGGGGAGAAGTATGCACGTTTGGTGTGTGATGCAGTACATCCGAATTGCATCTGCGTGCTTGGAGAGATACCGTCGCTCGTTCCTACCGACTGCTGGGAGAGAGAGCGGGAACGGGTGGAGAGAGAGAGACTGGAGCGAGAGCGAGAAAGGGAACGGGAGAGGGCCCGGGAGAGGGAGAGGGAAAGGATCGAGAGGGAGAAGATCGAAAGGGAGAGGGAGCGAGAACGGGAACGTGAGAGGGAGAGGGAACGAGAGAGGCTGGAGGGGGAACGACTGGAACGGGAGAGAGAGATGCAGGCCGCCGGTCTGGATGTCTGCGGGAACGTCGTGGGCCGAGGAGCGAACGAGAGGAGCAGCGTTGGGGTGAACCAGCACCAGCATAGAGAGATGGTCGCGACCAGAACAGACGGTGAAAACAACCCAGCGGGACACAACCCACCCAAAATCATGGCGGTGTCAGGAAAACTGGAGCAGGTACTTCCGGATACCCTGTGGTCGGTCTCTCACTCTTGATTCAACTGAAGCTTCATCAATCCATTCACTAAAACTGGGCTTAAAAAATAAGAACCAAGAAAATTTGCTTCGACAATAAAGTCAAGTTAAAAACGTTCTTGAAAATATTTTCGACAGTATGCGCTTCCACTCGGCTAAAAAAATGCATTCTGATTAATATTGCGTTTGTGGAATATGAATAAAGCAGCAAAATCCACTCATTTTTATTCATCTCAGAGGGCGGCCATGTTGCCACTTGCTGTCGACTGAAAATGACATCACTGTGAGGGCCCAGCTTGCGAACGTAAAATATCGATACCCAGAAAATAGGTGAGCCTTGATGGTCGTTACCTGAGCCTCGGGCACTCTGATGTCATTTTCAGTTGAGAAGCAAGCGGCAACACGGCTGCACCCCTGACATGGATCAAAACTTTGCTCAATTGAAAAACCTCTTTGAGACTAGTGTATTTTTACTACATACACCCATTGAAATAGTGTTCAGTATTGCTTATTTTATGCTAAACCAATGCTTCAAAAAATAGCTGGTAAGAATCACGGCAGATAAAAACCAAGCATAATTTCCCTTTGTTTGTAGATATTGATCCATTGTTTGATTTTAATGTCTGTCGTTCAGGGTGACTGAGAAACTGGAACCTATACCCTGGCTAATTGTAAGAGGATGGATCCCGAATTGATCAGAATATATATACCTGTATATATATTGGCTGAATATATGTATTTCTGCGGTGGTTTTATAGTCACTGATGAATATATTAATTTCATCCTCCCACTATCTATTTCCCAGGCAATGCAGAGAGACTCCGGCCTTGTTCGTCCCTCTGCCTTCAAACCGGTGGTTCCGAAAAGTTTTCACTCCATGCAGAACCTTGTGGGCCAGGCAGGCGGGGCTGGGAGCGAGGGCAAAAGCGAGGCGAGGGGCGAAGGCTTCTGTGAGGGGAGAGGTGGCAGGAGAGGCAGGGATGGTGGAGGGGGAGAGTCAGGAGAAGTGCCGGAGGCCCTCCTCCTGGACCAGGAAAGCCCGGTGAGGGTCAGCAGAGGTGAGGGTGCGGGAAATCCGAATGAGGTGGTTCAGGGCGGAATGTCCGACTCAGGCAGGAACTCTCTGACAAGCCTGCCCACCTACACGGGTTCGGGTTCTGGTTGTGGACCTCCAGCCGTACTGGGACCGCTAAGTGCTTCCACAAGCCACATCAACAGGTTGGGCATGGCTGGTGC